CTGTCAGTTTTTCATATTAATTCGACTGTGATGGACCTCCGTTGGTTTCACCTACCGACTTCCCTTAATCTCGCCTGCAGAATTGTGTGGTTTAAAATTGTTGAGAATATTTGCTGCAACATCACGAATGTTCCCCTTAATTATTCTCCTGTTATTTTTCTAAACTAATGCGACGTAGGGACATCGTTGATCCAGTTGCTTCTAATAGCTTAGAGGACCGTTTGAAGAGGTAACGGTTCCATTGTATTTTAGCACATGCAACTACTAGAAACAAGGGATGGTGCGTTTCACTTCTTAAATAAGAAAGGACAACAGAATGTTTATTAAACGGGCAATATTTAAAAATTAGCAGTTTCTGGCAAACCAATAATAATCAGCTTAATTTTTGTACATCCCACTTAATTGCCGGGACGATTTTATTCTTGATTACAAACGTTTTCCTCGTCTGAAACGTGGCTTTTTGAGGAAAAGATGCGTTTGTATCTGTTGAAAAATTGTTGCTTACTCAAACACCCAATGATCCCGTCCATTTTGAAGACCGGATATGCTTCTCTTATGTAAATCTCCGTCATTGCCTTTATCTCATTATTTGGCTGTTAGCTAATTATCGTAAATCGTCCGTTATAATTGTACTTAAATTAATGGAGTACATACACAAAAACAACTAAATGGCGGATAGTATGATGTTGGACATATGCTTTCTAATTTCTGTACATATTGTACAAAAGTCACCCGACTTTTGGTGTCTTTTATCTAAGCTAACTGAATATTTTTATACACTTGTTTATGAAACTGGATTTCAGGAATCTGTTTCTCTGTCACAGTAGTCCATCAAGTCATGCATTATACTTTTAGGCCGGTTTCTGCATATGCTATGTTTTTCCGAGATACCCAGGCAACAATAAAAGGACAGTCGCCTAACGCCAGCTTTGGCGAGGTGTCTAAAATCGTGGCATTCATGTGGGACGCACTGGATGCTGAAGCAAAGAACGTAAGTTTGTTTGCAGTGGAAATTTAACAGTTTTTGCAAAGCTTTAGTATCCTTATGCAGACTATTTCTTAAGCTTCTCCTTCGTTTGCCGAAATTCGTAAACACGTTT